TAACACCTGGAAAGACAAATTTATTGTTGCCAATCTCATTAAATGTGAGAAGTGGGAGAGGAAGATGCAGCCCATAACTGAGCACCCCTCTCCCACACCCCTCCCAGCACACCTTCAGAATCCTGACTCTGCCCCACTTCATGGGATGCAGCCAACCCTCCTCCTGCCTTCCCCCCATGGAAAGCCTAGTTCATCCCCCGGCCCCCGCCTCACCCCCCCCAACCCATTTCTAGCATCTTCTTCCACATCCCCTGGGTCTTCTCAAGCTCTCACCACCCTAAGTCTGACTGCTGTGCCAAGAATCTTGGCAATTGTGTAAACTGATACAAAAGGCAGAACCAGCTCCCCTGTCACTTGGAAGGTCCTGACTCATAAAGGCCAGGAAATGCAGGGAGGGCCTAGGAGGGGAGAGAGATCTGCTCCACTCCCCTTCTTGCTACTGATAAACTTCCCCCATCTGCTTGATTTCCCTCCTGTGGGCCAGGGGTCAGCAACCCCTCTGGTCTAAGAGTCTTCCCCAGTAGAGGCTGGAAAGGGAGGGTGCTAAGCAGTGGTGAAGGTACTCCCACCCCACCCCTCCACCCCACCCCCACACATACACTGATGCCAGAGGCAGAGATGGGGAGGAAGATGTAGAAGAGAAAAAAGGAAAAAGTAGTAGTGAAAGAGGAAAAGCATTAGCTACATTCTCTCACCCCTTTCTCTTTGCTGAGCTCTGCCTTCCATGGCCCTTCAGAATCCTTTATGAACAGAGCAGCTTTAGGGAAACTGGCATTTTTCTTCTGACGGTCTTTGGTATCAGTGTCATTTATATTGCCCTCATTAAGAATGTTCATATCACTAAAACACTTAGAAGAGTGCCTGCATCCCAGTCAGCAGTCACTGCGTGCTAGCTGTTTCATTAATGTCACAAACAACTGAGAAAGGTTAGGATACCATTAATAAGATGCTTTCTTATTACCCCAGCTAATACTCCATTGGGCTAATATACCCCTTTAATTGACTAGTCCTCCTGCAGAGGCAAATTCAGTTTCTCTACCTAGCTCCCACCTCCGTTTAAGAATTTAGAAGGAAGCAGAGCATATAATTCACTCTCCTGCCTTCCTCGTCCCTGGCTCATTCTTCCACCACAGAGTCTGCTTATGAGCATCTTAAATGTGAGGACAGGGAGTTTGTGAGAAACTTAAATACAATGTAAGGCAGCGCAAGCAATAGCAGATGAGGGATTCCAGTGGAGGAGGTGCCGTGCCTAGCTTTGGCTCACAGCCAGGCCCACTCTGGTAGAGTGACAATGATAAGGGCAGTGGCTTTTTAAGCATCTCACTTAGTCAATGACCTCCATGCAGAAAGGCACGGAAAAGAAGAGATCGCCTTATCTGAAGCTGGTGTTGGTCAACGTGCCAAACTGAGAGGCTAAATTAAAACCTACTTAGTCATATTGGGATCATACCATACGTGGGGCTGGGTATGTGTATGTGTGTATGTGTGAGTGTATGGGTGGCAAGGACCAGAGGACACCTCGGAATGCATGTGTTTGTGACTTCCTCTTTTCAGGTCAGGGCCTAGAGGAGTTTGTTTTGTTTTGTCTTTTTGAACTGTGGTGAATATGTTTGTGTAATGAACTAGTTGCCAGTGTGACAACCTTGCCATGTACAATTCATTGACATTAATGATATCCTTCGAGTTGTTTAAGCAGCACCTTTCACCGACCCCAAAGTTTTCCGTGTTCTCTAACCGAAGCCCTGGTGCAGTAGTGGCTTATGCATTGGGCTGCTATCTGCATGGCCAGCAGTTCAAAACCACCAGCTGCTCCATGGGAGAAAGATGCAGCTTTCTGCTCCCATAATGAATTACTGTCTCAGAAACCCTCAGGGTGGATCATCTTACCCATTCCTATAGAATTATTAAGAATCGGCATCCACTCGGTTGCAGTGAGTTTTTTTTTAAACAGAAGCTCAGTGTACCCTGAGCATGGTGTCTTCTCACGCCCCACCACCCCAAGCCCAAACACACACTTAAGGGCCTAGCTTTTACTGAAAGAGGCAGTTGAGACAGAATATTCTAAAAGATCTGCCTGAAGTCACATGGGAAGTGGCAAAATACCTCCCCAGGCTCCTTACTCTGAAAGAGTCTTAAAATAGACATCGCAGATAAAGGAAAGATGGCTTGGCTGGAAGTGGGTATGATTCAGGAAGAGAGGAATATCAGATGTTAATCATATTAAAGGAGGATTTAGCTGATGCTAAACGGAGCAGCTTGTTGGCTATCTGTTGATGCAAGTCATCCTGCTTGTGCCATTTGAAATGCCATGCAGGTAAGGTTTAAACAACCCTGCAAATCCTAATGTGCACTTTAAGGATTTGTTCTCTTGAGTACATTAGACAGTGGAACCACAAAAATCATCCCATGAATCTTAGATAATTACTTTATGACGTCGGAAGCGTGCTGTCAAAAGACTATCTATGTGGCAATAAACCGTAAAGAGTCCTGGAGCACACTGCCTAAGTCTTTAGGCTCGGGTTTCAAGCAGTGCACTTGTCAGGAGAGAAGGAAGAAGAACAAAGCTCTAAGTGACATTTCCTTAAAGTGGTTAGCCATCATCATACTCTTTAGCTTTGGCGGGAAAAACCTGCAAGTGTCTCTTCGTCAGGCTAGTAACCTGGGGTCCAGTTACAACACAGACTTTAAAATACTGGAGCAGTACAAGAAAGATCATCTTCTTTCAATGTGTTCTGAAAAAGAAAAACTTCATTGACCATACGTTTGGCAAGAACAGATCTTTTCCTTGGAGAGCAAAGATAAATTGGTGGCCTACAGTAGAACCACTCACACTGTCATAGAAAAGCCACAACTTCTCTGACGTTGGGTTCCCTATAATCCGCTGTAACGGATGCTCTGCTAAGAAGAAATGGACAAGTAGGGAGGCAGGGCATCAGACCACGCCCTTAACAAGTATAGACTAGGGCCCCTCCTGCCTTCAAAGCTGAACATTTCCCTGGAAATTACTAGGAGGGCAGTCGTGGCTAAGTGGTAGAGGTTTTGCCTTCCACTTAGGAAGCCTGGATTCAATTCCCAGTCCACAGACCTCATACAGAGCCACCATCTCGTTGCCAGTAGAGGCTTGGGCTGACATGATGTGGCAGAGGTTTCAGTGGTGCTTTCCCACTAAGACGGACACGGGGAAAGACCTGGCACTCTACTTCTAACAGTCAGCCAATGAGAACTCCATAGACAACCCTATAGATCAGGTTTCTTCCATTCAGGAACAAGGACGAATAGAGAGACTGAAAAGCTCAAGGAAACAATTAGTCAAAAGGATAGCAATGAACCACCACCACTTTCTAGAGACCAGGTGAATTAGATGGCACCCGGATGAACGGCCCTGCTCTGATCGCAATCTCAAAAGGCCCAACATAGAATGTAGTATTGAAAATCATGAAGAATAGACTTATTGGTCCGATATACTAAAGGAAACCCTGACACGATGGCCCTTAGCCTTCCTTCAAACCTGGCACAGAACCTCACCCCTAAGGATCAAATCTAACAATATGAGACCCAGAGGGAAGCATTTGGCAAAAAAAACACAAAAACATAGTTCAGAAGGCAAGGAGGAGCAGGTAAGAGGGAAATTGGAGACAAGGAACCCAAGGAGAAAGTAAGACGATGCTGTGACCTTGCAACTCATGTCACCAAGCAAAAGTAATGAATTTGCTCTGTAAACCACCCCAAAGCGTTCAAAAGACAACATCCCAAACCCCTATGGATCACAATGGTCTAATCCCTAACCAATCATGGTTCAGGTCAGGACCGGAGAGTGTTTCGTTCCACTGGGCATACCGTTTGCCTTGAGTTAGTTGGCAACCAACTCAATGGCAGCTCATAATACTGATATCCATATGGGAAAGGGAGAATTTTAACAGCCTAGCCGATGCACCGGAGAAAATTCCTCCCTGCAGATTGGCACCACATCATGCCAAGAGAGTACAAGAAACAGACCAACTTTGTCAACTGACAGCCTATCCACTCGTGATCAGGGGGTTCAGGTCACCAGTTAATATTGCCACTGCCAGCAAGGCGCAGCAAAATGCTTTGGTGAACACTAGCAAATGTGCTGGTGGTGTCTCACAGAGTCATTCTGTTATCATGAAAACTGTTTGTTGCACTACATTAACTTGTAAAGAAATGCCAAAAAAAAAAGCAAAAAAAAAAAGAAATGCCTTACTCATTCCTCCCACAGGTCTTTCATTGTTACATGGACATCACTGTCTGAGAATTGTCTCTTTGTGTGTTTAGATGATGTGTTTTATATATGTGAGCATAGGTAGATACATATAGATAGATATAAATATTAGGAACAAACAGCCAAACGCTAGTGTAGGTATCCATACATACAATCACAAGCATGAGTACCCTCCCAAACAGCAAAAGCAAAGATAAAAATAAAATAACACATTGATCAATCTGTTATGAGACAAGCAAATTTTCCTACGTTTAAAGGACACCAATAGTGGTAAAAGTTAGGACCAATGAAATCACGCACCCATGCAACATTTCTAGACTTTTTCAGAAAACAATCTCGACAGTTCACATAGCCACTCAACTGACATCCCACAACCTATGTATGAAAAAGGCCCAGTGGAGCCAAGGGCTTTTGCCCTGCACAGGCAGTCACTAAAATAGCATCATTCATGCCTTGCCGCCATTGTGCTTGTGTCCTCCAGCTTTCCTTCCTGTGGTTCAATGGGCCTTCCATACAAGCAGAGCAGCCATGGAATGAGGAAGAAAATGCAAGTGGGTTAGCTTCCCATGATTCTGATGGGAACCAATGGGAGTCTCTCATTGCTGTGCTAGGGATTACGCTGTTAAAGGACCCCTGTGTGAGAAACCAAGGGAAAGAGCAAAAGAAAACAAAACAGAGTGGGGAATTTTCCTGTAAATAAATCAACCAGTGTTTTACACAGGCAAAGGGAGATGACTAGAAAATAAAGATTAGTTCCTACCTCAAAGTCATTTGCTTTGTTGTAGTGCATGTTCAGAGCCCTGTAGAGCTCACAGTCTCTGGTTATGGACAGCTCCTCGGTGCTGGTGACCCCATCGTTGATGGCTTGGCGCGCATACTTCTCCATTTGGATGTAGTAAAACTCACGGAAATTGCTAAACCACTTGATGAGCTGAGAGGTAATACATCTATTGAACTGTCAAATTTAAATATTGAAAGGGATCAGAACATTGCCATTTTCTTCATGTAATTTTCTTTCAAAAGCATTTAAAGTATTGTTCAAATTCCCCCTCCCTACTCCTTACTGGGATAGGGAGCCCCCTCCAAAACGACGGCTAGAGAAATAATTTACTTACAGGAAATTACAAAGCGAATCAGGAATAGAAATCGTATCCCATGCCGCCCATGTCAACTAGAGAACTTGAATTACAAATCTGACTTTCCTTGGCTTGGCTTTACCATTTTTCACCCACCTTCAACACAATAGATTCCACTGAAGTACCTACCCCTTCACAGAAATCCACTCTGGTTAGAAGATCCTGGGAAGAGTAAGTGGTTAGTCTGAGGGACCATAGAGGATGAGCTGCATGGCTTCACCACTAGCATGGATTTTATTATTATTATTTTTTAATGAGAATTGTGTGTCACCACGTGGCTCTTTCCATGCCAAGAAAATGTTTGTTTTGGGTTTGTTTTTTCACATCATGGGAGGAATATGTCATTTGCTTATTTTGGGGTGTGGGTCATCCCGAGGACCATGCCACCTTAATTCCACTCAGTGCTCACCTACAGCTTGGTGCAGCCTCCTCAGACCTGTGAGCTAATCACATGCTCCCTATAGCCAGCACCAGAAAAGACCTACAACCACGTTGGCCGGTGCCCAATGCTGGTTGGGAGGTATGGATGGCTACAACCCAGTCCACAGATGGAGAGAGTTCATCCTTGTTACGTTTTTTTCTTTTTCTTTTACTTCTAAATACCGAGTTACTATAACACAATTAGATTTTAAAATTTTGTTTACCAATGTTTCCCTCTGACCTTTGAATTGAGGATGTCATATTGGACTCTCTGCAAATGATACCATCCTTATTGACAGTCCTCTGTTCACATAAAGGACAGCTGCGTCTCAACTTGCCAAGTCAAGACCAATAAATCCATAGCCTTCTATCGGGCCGGCTGACAGCCCCCTGCCTTTTGTCATCACAAGCACCCCCCTTTCCAGGCCCCCAGAAAAAAGATGTACATTCATCAAAAATCAACAAAGAACACTTATCAAACACTGGCCCTGAGAACATCCAGGCTCCCACAAGATGACAGCTAAAGTGTGTATCGGGGCTGTAATTACTCCGCAGAAAGTTGTTTCTATACTCGCAAAGATAATAAATGAATGAAAATTTATGGCAGAGAATGGAAGTCACAAGGAAACAGAAGCAGGGAGACTGCTGTTTCTCCCAAAAGGCCAACTTGCATCATAATTGCCATGCAGTTGCAAGGGTCCTTACAGATAATTGACCAGAAAATGATTAAGTCATCAGCAAATCGCTTCTGCTTGCAAGAGTTCAAACATGTACTTAACCTATCCAAGAATTATATTTTCACTCTGGGTGTCTGCTCTGTCTCTATTCAGCCTTGCGGGGAACCCGATTAAAAAGACAACTGAAGGACCCCCGTTATCTGATCTTCTGGTTGCCGATTTCAATAGAACTTAAACCCATTACGATTTGCTGAACTTGGAGTTCTTTCCATTTTATCTCAGCAGTAAAATACACTGTCCAAATTTCCAGACACTGAGATAAGGACTACAGGCCCCCGTGACGGCTTACTGTTCCTCTTTAATTCTTTTAGAATAAGAAACAAAACATTACAAAATGATAGCAGGCTGTGCACTGGGGAATGAAAATTGCTTTGACATGGAGATTAGGTTTCTGCATTGTTACAAGACATTGTCTCATATGGACAAGAGTACTGTAGAGGGGAAAAAAATAGAACGTTTTTTTTTTTGTTTTTTTTTTTCTGGAATGGTCATGAATGACCTAATGGGGAGGACAAAAAAGTAAGTGCACTTGCCATTATTTAGGAATGGGCCATAAAGGGAGATTTGAAGCTTATTGTTGGAGAATGGAAATGCCAGAGAGGAAGAATGGACAGAAACAACAGACTCCGCAACCAGGAGACAAGCGACATGGCCAACAGAACAGCTTGGAGGACGGGGTTTCTCTGCACCAGAAACAAACTGGATTGTGTTCGCTTTCCGTTGGTGGCGGAGAGCAAAAGCAAGTCCCCTGTTTCCAAGAGACTCAAACTGGGGGAGTCGCCCCACCCCGGCCGAAAAAGGAGAAAAAAGCGCTGAACTTTAAGGAGTTAATTTCCCCCATCCTGGAGTGCCGTACAAGAAAAGGATCAATTGTTCTATAAAGGGAAGCTCTGTAGTGTGTTAATGTGTTACTGCAAAAACTAATCGGTACAATAAAGGGGCTGTGTTTCCACAGTGTACGAGTCTCTGTGACTTTGATTAATGCTTCCCATGGGACATCTCCGCCTCAATATGGGCTGAAGAAACTTCCTAAATATTCAATGAGCATGGTCAAAAGATGTATAAAACAAATCAATCTGACACCTTAATCTGGCTCGGCAGCAGTTGACTCAAGGGGTGGAGGGAATGAGATACATCATTTAACACTGCCGGGCTGGGAAGCCTGTGAGCGTCTGTTCTTCAAAGCTAACGCGACACGGGATCTGTTGTACTTATTGGTCTAAGAGTTAGTAGTGGCTACATTAAAATCAGCGCCCAGTCATGAATAAGGAGCTGATGGAGCCCACTGAGCCAGGCACTTCTCTGGCATGTGTCCCCTTGCCTTATAATGAGCTGAACTTTGGGCCAGGCTAAACCACTGTGCAGGAAGTGGGACTCTCAGAGGGGCAGCGGACTTGGCTTAAGCTCTTACTTGGGCAGGTGAACTAAATCATCCCTCTGCCAGCAGTGCCGTGGATGGCCTGCTCTCACCATCCACCAGCTCTGTCTATGATTCCCCCCCCCCTTATTTACAAGGTAATTTAAAAGCAAACAACAACAACAAAACGGTATCCTGGTAAAGTCCATTCCAACCAACTCTTGGGAACCCCAGGTGCGTAGAGTGGAACTGGGCTTCGGAGCTGATTTTTTTTTTTTTAACACTTAATTTTGTTGGAGTTGAGAAGATGCACAGCAAACACGTGCCGCTTCGACCACTGCTCCACATGCAGCTCAGTGGCACCAATTCCGCCCTTCAAGTTGTGCGGCTACCTTCACCCCCCTTTTCGGAGTCGTTCCTGCCCCATTAACATGCATTCACGATCCAGAGGATTTCCGACAGCTGCTCCTTTGGAAGGAGCCCTGGTGGCATAGTGGGTTCCCTATTGGGTTGCTAACCCCAAGGTCACCAGTTTGAAATCACCAACCACTCCTCAGGAGGAAGATAAGACATTTACTCTGGCCAAGAGTTATGGTCTCAGAAACCCACAGCGGCAGTTCAACTCTGTTGGAATCAACTCAATGGCAATGAGTTTGGTTTGGTTTGGCTCTTTGGGAAGTAGATTGCCAGGCCTTTCTTCCAAGGCAGTCCTAGGTGGACCCAATGTTCCTAGCTTTCGGTGAGTAGACAAGAACTTGACAGGTTGCAACCACCCCGACAATGACAGTTCTAAGCCTTAGGAACACGCCTAAGAAAAGTGTACGTAGGGGCGTGCTTCACTCTCCCCTCGCAGAGCTGGTCAGAGTCTGAGCTCAGGCCAGCACATGGCTCCCCAATGGAGGCTGGGGTGCGCCCCTGTGCACCACCTCAACTTAAGGAAACATTTCTTTGCCGCTGGTGCTGCTCCTCTTGGTTTACATTTGCAATGCTAACATCCAACCAGCATTAGCAATGACTTCAGGACCTAGGAATAGGATTTTCTTGTAGCTCAGTGGCTCTCCACCTTCCTTATGCCACAACCCTTTCAAACAGCTCCTCATGTGGTGGTGGCCCCCCCAACCATAACATTATTTTCGTTGCTACTTCATCACTGTCATTTTGCTACTGTTATGAATCGGGCGACCCCTGTGAAAGGGTCATTCGACCCCCAAAGGGGTCGTGACCCAGAGGTTGAGAACCGCTGTTGCAGATGAATGTAACCACAAGCAAGTATGGGCTTGTGACTTCATGACAAGCAGAACGGGGCCACAGACACGTGGGGTCTCCATCAAGACAAGTGCTGCCGAGCTTCATCCGTGATGCAGCTCCGAGGTCCCGTCACCACTCTTTGAAGCACCTCTCAATTCTGTAGTGGGTTCCTGAGTCCTGACCCAAATAACATTTGGACTGTACAGAGAAACATCTAGCTATATCAGCCTTGCCAATAATGACTCACACCCTGTAATCATATATATGTGAGGATATGTGCACTAAAAACACACCTACACATGTATTTGTATATATTCATTGATAAAATTTCAGTTCTTGATTATTCTTGGTGTCAAAGAAGTCCCAGGATGCCCTACCATTGTTTTCTGGAAAGTTTCTGGACCACTCTATTTTCTTCTTAGATGTATGCCTTTCCACTACCCACAGGGTAAGTAAGCTCCAGGGAGGCAAACTCATTTATTACTCGCCAATGGTGGTGGTGGTGGTGGGGTATATTTAGGAGAGGTGGAAATGCCTAATCCATTCTAAAAATTTTATAAAGAGCAATGACCTGGGGTGCTTTTGTTTTGTAACACGTCATATGGGAGGGCTTCAAAAATTCATGGAAAAATGGAACTGAAGGATAAAGCTAATAGAGTCCCCTCATTTTCCCTACTCTTTCCCCTCCATTAGAGTGGATAATTGGGAGTTAACTAGACTCATGTATATTTGAACAGTCTTTGCCCCCAATCTGGGTAGAGCTATGGAGAGAATCTATAATCTGAATATGAGTGCTTTTTAAAAATAAAACACTCACCAGGTATGTAATTGTTATTTACACAGAGTGAGTGATTATTTGCCAAGATGAATCGCTGGATGTATCCTAAAAGGATGGGAACAATGTCTCGTCAGTTTGTTTCTCCCCGTGCTCATTCCCAGCCCCGCATGAATGCGAATGCTTCTAATATTTACATCTACTGTGGAGCCTACTCTTCCAGCCGCTGCCTTTCAATGGTGGACCAGTGATCCCTATGGATGCAGTGTGCAAAGCTTGCTGGCATCCTTTTGGATGAAGGCTGCTATATAAAATAGATAAGGTACAGTCATGATTATCTCACAACCCCGCAGACCACTGGGAACAAAAGAGCTAACACAGAAATCTACGTGTACACACAGACAGACACATGAGCTAACAACACACCCCACTCTCCTTCCCCACATCACCTCCAGGAACTAAAGTGTTGAAAGGATTCCCCTGGAAGAAGACTTTGCCAGGTTCTACTGGTTGGTCTTCCCCCAGTGGACAAATTCCTTTAAATCTGTCTCTTCTAGGCTTTCAGTTTCTGTTTTCAAGTGATTGTTGAGTCAATTCCAACTCACAGTGACCTCATGAGTTCCAGAATAGAACTGTTGCATAGGGTTCTCTGGCTTTAACTTTGCAACAGCAGGTTGCCAGGCCTTTCTTCTGTGACACCCCTGGGTGGGTTCACCCTGGCCGCCTTTAGGGTAATCGTTGAGTGCAAACCATCTGCATCCCCAAGGACCTTCTATTCTAGTGAGGCCCCCTACAAAGGCTTTCCTTGGCCTGTTGCTGTCAGCTTGTTTTGTGCTTAATGATTCTTAACCAGCTGTTTAAGGCATTGCCTTTCTCTGCCTTCCCTCTCCTGCCCAGTTTGTTGGCATTGACTGAGGACAAAACATGCCTTCCACTTAAGAAGCACGGCCAGGGAAGGAGACAGATAAAAGGCTGAAGTTGATACACAATTCAAAAGCAAACAGGAGGGAAAACAGAACTTTTCTTAGAAGGCCAAATAAAACATCAGTGAAGGAAACTGAAATGTGCTGGCCCTCAGATGGGGCCGAGGAAGCAACTTGGGCACGGAGAACAAGGCAAGCTGTGCTGAGGGGCGTGGCAGAGGGCCTGCGGGTTCTGGCAGCTTGTGAGTTCTCAGTGGCAGAATGAGAACTTGTACATATGGGGTGGGGGGAGAGACGCACCCAGCCCTAATAAACTAATCTCAGCTAATGTAATGTTTATCAAGTCCCTTGGATAATGATACCATGCGTGTCATTATCGTTATCAAAACCCAATCTATGTTTTAAAAAGTTACAGATGCTTAACACAACATCGACTCAATGCAAACAATGACTTAAAACCCACACACACACACACACACACACACACACACACACACACAGAACCAGGAGGTTCCAATAGTCTATAGAATCAGGGAGGCTGCAGCTGTAGGCCGACGGCTTTCATATCCTCATTTGAATAATGTGTCCTGAATCTGTCACTTTATTCATTCTCCTTATGCTCAGTGTACTCTACATCAACAACAAATTAAGTTGTAAATAAGAGACAATCATCACTTTTGTTTTTAAGCAGCTACTGCAGAGAGAATTTCAATGTACGCTCCTTTTCGACAGGGTGGAGAAAAAAAGAGGTGCTAGCGTTTGCTTTTATAAGCACAAATATGAGGAAACCAACAGACAACAAAAACAGAAAACAGTTTACTGCTGTGGAGGGAAGAGAAGCAGTTTTCTCAAGCATCTCCATCCATTACTAGCTGAAGCTTTTTTTTCCCAAGGAGCTACTACTGTGACATATCAAAACTGAAGTTGAGTTTCCCAGCCGAGCTTGCAAAACCCACGTGGCTTATTAAGAACCCTTCTTCAAGTGCCAATACACCAGGGCCATCTGTGCTGGGTACCCCTGTACATAAAATCTATCAAAACACAGGCGCATTCATGAACCAGGTCTCAAGTCCATTCCATTAACTTCCAAGAGTTGGAGTCACTATAGCAGTCATAGAAAGTGAAAAACACAAAGCAAACGGAAAACATCCCTACCTTTACGTCGGAGAAGTAGGTCTTCAGCATGTTGGAGCTGGGGTAACGGGTATAAAAGAACATGAGTTTTGCTTTTTTCAGGTGATTGGGTGACAATCCTTCCTGCATGTAGGATGCAATTGGTTAAGGGAAAAATGTCTTTAAATCCAAGACTCCGCATCACCACCACCCCCATACCACCACCACCACCTCCACCACCACCACCACCATCACCATGCAGAAAGTCGGGAGGTCCACCGAATAGCTGTGGGAGTGCTGGCAGGTCAGCAGCATGGGCCTTGGGATCCATTGATAATTTGCTGTCATTTCTTCAAAATGCTATCATCGTCGGTCAGAGATCACCCCGTGTAAAATGATAAGTATGCACAATTCAGTTGCAGACTCTCAGGCACTTTAGGGTGAAGGCAGCCAAACTGCCCCCCTGCCTTGGGTCTGAACTGCTATATATACATTCAGTTGTTGCTAAGGGGACAAACGCACCCAACATGCACTTGCATAAGTCTTAGCGCAAGAGTTGTCTACTTTGCAATTAAGGTTCTGTTTTTTCTTCTCTCTCTCTCTCCCCACTGCCCCCCCCACCCCCCCGGCAATCTGCAGCTTACATTGAATTATTGTACTAATGTGCATGGGGACCTAAGATGCATTTTGAAGATGGTTATGCAAGCTCCACACATTTTACCGTTCTGTGCTAATTCACAGGCAGGAGTATCTTGCCTCACCTTCTCCCCATCATATTGGGCCTTTTTAATTGTTTGCTTTTAAATAGCACCTAAAACTTGGGAAAGGTAGCTCTGGCACAGAGAGAACTGGGGGAGGGAGGGTGCCGCTTTTGTTAAAGCAATGATCCAAAACCAAACACAATTTGCCTTCTCCTGGATTTATAGTTAACTCCTTTGAGAATGGCACAGGGGTTGGGGCTAACAAATCAATGAATGTGGGTTAGCAGATCAATAAGTGGCCACTTACCCAAAATAAGAAGGCCTATTTATCTGGAAACATCATTACCTTTTAGATCTGTAAACAGCAGCAACTAAAACAGTTCCCAAGAGAATGTAAGGCTAACCATAACAATCCAGGCTTCCTGGTCCCCCCCACCCCTCAAGATTCTTGGCACTCCTCAGCAGACTCAGGGCTGGGATGGCGCTGGTCACATCTGTGCTGCAGCCTGGCCCTGCCATTTCCTCAGCAAATTAATGGCTTTATAATTTATCAGAAATGAAGATGCACGTGGAGAAAATCAATGTGGTCCCCCACAAGGTCAATTAAGGGTCCTTCCTAGAAGCTTCTCTAAGGATTTTCTCTTAAAAGACAGTCTGGGAAAAGGAGGAGGGGAAAAAAAAGAAGAAAGACAAGAGAAATGAGCACGAATACACATTGCACACCACTATAGATATGTGTATCTATCCATCTCTCTATCTACACACCCACACATCCTTAACTACCCAACTCAAAATTTATACCTTAGGAGAAAAGGTCAAAAACGTGCAGATACACAGATATGTGGGCAGTGGTAAGGGTTTCCTAAACACCTGCATTAACACAGCAAGATCACACTTACACATGGAATGACCACCAGAAAGTTACTGAGAGGGGTAGAAATAGTCCCTTCTACAAGCTGTTACTACTTAGAACGGGTGTTAAACCAGAGCATCTGTGGAGAATTCACTCAATTGTATTTCCTTTCAAATATCTCAGGCAATTTTAAAAAGATCCTCTTGGTTGGTCAAGGGAAAGTATTGTGCTCCCCCCGCCCCCGCTGAAAATAAACACTGAAGAGAGAAATTTTGATTTTATATTTGTAAGCCAAAGCAGCTTAGCTGAACTTGTGTTTTTGTTTGAGATCCTTAATGATTACAAAGACGATAATTTATGACTGACATACTTCTTGTGCCAAGGAAAGAGCTGAACGGCCCTCCATTAGACTGATAGCGAAGTCTAAAGGAGCCCGGCGCCCTCCAGGACCATCTGTCCACATGGATAAGTGAAATAATAGTTGCAAGCTGTCTCCTATTGCCTCGTGATAAGAGTTTTAGGCAGGTCTAAACTTCGACAAAAGGTCTCAGATCGGGGTTCTGATCTTTTCTCCCAGGCGGCACCATGAAGACAACCTCATACACTTAATTGTTGGGGAGCTGGGGGGGTGGGCGTCCCACATCTTTTAAAACGTGGCCATACAAAATAAAAGATAGTTTGGTGGCTGTGGTTCTCAGACAGGCAGAGAGCTATGGAAACTTCCTGAACGTTCTCATTGCGTTTAAATGACTAACGTGTCTTAGTCCTTTTAATTATTTTATTTCATCTTGTAAGCTATCTGTCTTATTTTGATCAGGATTTAGAGGCTTTTTGTGTAATAAAATTTTTTTAAAAGATATTCTAATATGAATTTCTCAGGCTTGTGTTTGCTCTAAAATGTTTCCTGTTGGTAATACTTGGAATTGGGCAACTGAAATGGAACACAGAATAAATCTTTATCTCTCAGTCCTGGTGCAATTAAGATAAAACTCCCATAAAATATATGATTCTAATAAACTATTAAAAATAGCTAATGAAACATTTAAAAGCCAACAGTTAGATAATCCTCTTTTTTTTTCCTCCTCAAAAATAAATCTGAACTGACCGATTGGTTAATTTCCCTTTTAAGTGCTTGTGCTGAAAAGCAACTGTTCTTCCAAGAAAGCACTAGCTGTTTCCAGGATACTTACACACGCACAATGACTCATGACGGAATAGATTCAGTAAACATACAGCTGTACTGAACACGAGCTAAGCTCCATTCAAGGCCAGGAAAGAAAATGAGCACAAATAAATATTAAGGAGGTACAGGGGGGAGGGGGCGAGGGGGGATGGAACGCAAACAAGATCTCTCCCGGCAGCTCATGTGGCTTTGCCTCAATTCTCTTAGCCATAGCTTTGTGAAGACAGATGACATTCAGTTCTATGTGTAATGCAAAATAGACAATAACTGCTGAAACTTGAGACAGCTGCCAGGTGTAAAAAAAAAAAAAAAGAAAGAAAGAAAAAAAGATGATAAATCCATAAATTAATGAAAGACATCTGCTCAGAATATAAAAGATCAGAGAAGCAGGGTACTGCAGCTGAACCTAAAACAGTGTTCAAACAACCCGAGAAGCGGAGTGTCGTCTGCTTACCAAGTACAATCTAACCTTACCTCAACAGCAGCAGCGGGAGGAGCAGCAGCCGAGGCAGCAAAAAGGCAAATGGAACAATACTAGGTTGTGAAGGCTGGAGGGAGAAATGGTTTCCCCCCAATTGAACTCGGGATTGTGGGTTGAGATTTTACATCTTGCTGCTATTCTAACCAAGTGGGTTGAGGCTGCTCACTAACATTTTCAAAATGCTTTGAAGCCCAAAGATTTTTTTGTGTGTGTGTGGCTTTTTCCTTGTTCTCTCCTTTGCTGTATTTCTAAGAGGCTCCCACCTTAGGGAACTTCAAGGAAGAGAAAAGACCTCTATCGTTTAATGATAGTGGTCATGGAGCAAGTTGTTGCTCCAATAACTTCAACAAAATCAGTGGGGTGGTATTCATGGAAACGGCTCTCTCTCTCTCTCTCTCTGTCTCTTTTTAACTTACTTACTAACCCTAACCCACCCCAGGTGTGGAGGAGGCATTTGGAAAACCAAACTCTGGAGTCTGGAGATGTTTCCCTACAACTGGTAGAAATACTTTAGCAGCACAAGATTTCTAAACCTGTACAAAGCAGCACTTTCCATCGGTGGTCTGCACATTTTAGAAATCCATTTTGAATCCATGTGTTTTCCAGTGGTATTTTCATGTCAGATGACTAAGCAGTCTGCTCTCCCAAACGTCAAATGATTTAACCTTCTCTATAAAAGTTGGGCAGGGAGAAGCTGCCTGCCTCTGAGACAGACTCAGTTTCTTCACCTCCATGACTGAAGGACTTATAATTCTACTCTGGGGCTGTAATTGGGTGCATGCAAATGCTCGAGGCCTAAACAAGGCTATTTTTCTTGAGATGCAAAGAGGCTGAATGACAAGGAACATCACGAAGGAAAACAATTGGCTCGCTGTTTCTTTTGGAATTTGAATAAAACTTAATATTTGATTAAAGAGATTCATTTGCAAAGATACTGAACACATTTTTTTTTAAATATCAAGACATGTGCTCTTGGGACAGGTGTGCTGACATATAGTTTAGCATGTACACATTCATTATTTCCTTTCTATCCAAAGAGAGAATGATATAATGTGTTTGGTAATACAGAACACACATTCAGTTTAATGCACTGAATTTAAAATGGATTTGTCCGATGAGCTAGTGTTCTTATTCTTACCATGTTGACCATGCACAAAGAGGCAGGTGATGCCCTTTGGAGTGGTAAAGAACCATATCTTATGAATTACAAGTCAGAGAGCCATGTGCTAAAAAACAAAACAAAACAGAAACAGAAACAATAATGGTAACCATAGTGATACTATTTCATCTCATCTCTATTCATCTTTTCTAGGAAAATGTAATCATTATATTGGGAATATCTGTATGAGGAGTTCAAATAGGGTCCCAACTAAACAAGATCGAAGTAAACTATTAGTCACTGTGGTCCCAGAAGTTTTATCACAGTAAACGTGTGGGAACTGTGTCAGGTGAGTGGGGGAAAGAACTCAATGGTACAGCCATCATGGAGCCAGGAGCCAAGTGAATCTGCTCTCCCAAGCAGTGCTCAGCTCTTCACTGGCTTCAGAACTGTGTGGACTACAGAAAAGGTGGCTGGCCTTTCTCCTGCCTGAGAAATAACTTATCAATGAGGCAAGTGCTTAAAAGTGCTGTGGAGTAGAGCGAAGAGAAAGAAGCAGAGAATAGGAGGCCCAATATTGGAAAATGCAATCATTGCATGCAACAAGGGGCCAATGTTATTTAGCTACACACAGAAAAAAACCAACTCCAGGTGCACACAACCAACATTCTATATGGCTGTGGGTGTTTCCAAGCCATCAATCTTTAACAGAATTTTAATCTTGGTAAGAGAGAAAAGCTATTCCTCTGAAAAACCAGCAACTATATTTTTCGCTAATGCCTTTAATATGTATAGAAATAAAGGAACTTCTCCCCATTCAAATAGTCAAAATTCCTCAGAGGATTTAGAAAGAGTGAGACAATGAGCACAGCCAACACTTCGAGCAATCCAAAAGTTACGTTTGCCCTAGACCCAACTCTGAAAGAGAGGGAGCGAGAGCTATCTCAGACATAATTTTCATCTGCTTACAACAAATCTACTGGGGAGTGGAAAAAACAAAACAAAACAAAGCAGAACAAAACACTGAGCGAAACTTGGACTAGAGTTTAGTATGAGCTTATAAAACTTTGAAATTTGGATGCTTCAAGAAGTCACTGAAAATAGGCTTATCCCTCTACACTGTGTGTGTGTGTGTGTGTGTGTGTGTGTGTGTGTGTGTGTGAGTGTGTGGGTACAAGAGAGAGACAGAGTGACTGCCACTTGTTTCAGAATGAACAAGGCAACACTGAGTGAGAACCAACGAGAGTTAGCCTGGGACTAAAAGAACAACACAAAAGTTGCCCTCGAATCGATTCCGACTCACTGTGACACCTTGTTTCAGGCTCAAACTGCACAGGGTTTTCAAAGGCTGTGATCTTTCACAAGCAGATCACCAGGTCTTTCTTTAGAGAAGCCACTAAGGCAGATAGATTCACACTGCCAAGCTTTCTGTTTTAGAAGTCAGGCACTTATTTGCACTCCCCAGGCACTCCCCCTGGTCCTTAGCCTGGCTTGGACTCAGAAGATGCTCTTCCTGTAAAGGGTGAAAGAAAACAGTCAGCCCATTGTGCTTTCTTACTCTGCCTTGCTCATCCCCAACAGCTATATTCCAATCATTCTGGCCAGCATTGATGGTTTGCTTATAATGTGTAAGATTTGGGGCTGGGGAGAGCTTTGATTCATGACAGATAGGTTAAACCGTTCGATCTTCGGAAGGTGGAGGTTAGATCAGCAACCAAATCAAGACTTAATTTTGACTTATTTATATTCTCAGAGCTCAACTCTTTGTCCTTTTCCTCCTCACGACAGTATCCTTGGCTTTCTTGTTATCCGGAGACTTATCTCTCGTCATCGAGACGATTGCTCAAAATCCTCAATTTAGTAACAGTCAACTTAATTGCTAAATTTTATATCCATCTGGAAACTGATTATAAAAGAAACATGCGTCCACCTGCCCTCCACTCTACTAGCCTGAAACACCAATGTGCACAAGATTTTCAAAAATTTCCTTAAAGGACTGATTTACCCAAAACAAACAAGCAAACAAACAAAAACACACCAGTTAAAAACAGCTAGTGTTCAGGGTGAGTCTAATAAAAAAAATAAATAGAATTGATATTTCTACATAAAAGTCTGGTTCAGAATTTCAAAGTTCCACAAAACGATGGCCATTGCTGAAGTCTACTACAGCTGAGTTTTATACTTAATTGTGCTCTCTTCGCTTTCCAAAATAATTTGCTTTGTGTATGTTAGGACAAAAGATTTCTGTGTATGGCTGAACAGAGGTTAATCATGCATAGAGGCAGCTGCACCAGACCCAAAGAACAGACCTTGGGTGAACGAGGAGAGAGAGAGAGAGAGACCGATGCCGGCTGAATAAATCAGTACCTGTATATTTCCTTGAAGAAAACAATAAAAAAGAGTCTTAAAAATTAAAAAGAAAATCTAACCCCTCCACCCGCACCCACCTTTCTCTCACCCCAGCCTCCTACAGTGAAGTGCTCTTCCCTGAATTTGATTGTGGCCTTCAGTAAGTGGACTGGGGTAGGGGCAGTGGGGGAGGTGGCTTGCAGACAGTTTACAGAAGGAGTCTTCTTGTTTTGGAATCTCAAGGATCTGAAAACTGACCTTTCTCACCCCGTTATAAAACTTACCAACTTCTAAGAAGACATCTGATTGAATTCAATATTTATAATGACTCCCCCCTCCCCGGCCCACTCCCCTTTCTGAATCTCCTCTAGGAAAAAGGAAGGGATAATAAAGGAAGAAAGCACAGCAGAGAAAAGGCTGCTGAAAACACGGCTTCCTTGAAGTAATTAACAACTCCAAGGAGCTGCACAGACTTGGGTTTGACCTGAAGCTTTTGTGTCGTCAGGAATGCCCCCACACATGTTGCTTTAAAAATAAAAGAAAAGGCCCCATTCCAATAAGAGGGAAAGCTGCGTTTTCCAGAACAGACAGCGCTGCGAGTGCCTAGAGATTGTGTAAGCCTAACCTTTGGGGGAAGCAGTTCTGCTTTGATTTCCTTGAAAAGGATATTGCACTTCCCGAATAGGGTGAGATCTCGGACATGTCTTGCAGATCGCCACACTCAGACTTGATGAGGGACAAGGAGAGCCCTTCTGCGGTGCTGGGGGCGTGGACTGGCGAACAAGGATGGTGGCCCAGGTGGTGAGATGACATCTTGGTCCTCAGACTTGTCGTCTCCCGAGTTAAGTCTAAGGACTCAGGAGAGGTTCTGTCTTTCCCAGAGAAGGAGCCGGAGGGAGCACCCAGGGGACTCTGAAATGGGTAGGCCATCAAGGGCAGGGGGAAAGGGTGGCGGAAGGTAGAGGTGGTGAAGCCTGTGGTGGAGAGAGGTGACTGGTGCAGCGGCTGGTGGTGGCCACCAGTGGGGGGCCCCGAGGCAGACTGGTCAGATGAGTTTTTTCGGACCACCAGGGGCAGTGCCTCTGTCTGGTCTGTGGAACTGGGCATCTGCACGTTGCCAAAGGTGTCCAGGGGGTTCGGAATGATGACATCGCCAAAGCACTGCAGGCGCTGGTTGGCGGTGTGGAAATTGTGGTTTTCCCCATTGACTGCGAATCTGGCCTGGGGAATCTGGAGGGGTGGGAAAACCTGAGGAAGCTGGCGGGAGGGCTTGGCCGAAAAGACTTTGACCACAGTGTCCACAACTTGCGACATGGCAGTGTTCAGTTCCTGTTTCAAGGTCTCGGCCAAATGTTTGCCTTCTGGTTGTAAGGAGTTTGGCCCGTGGTCTCTTTCTTTGTTGTTGCCTTCTCGTTTCGGCTTGTTTTCAGCCATTTCCTGCTCTCGGATCAGGGCCCGCGCCCGGTCAATGAACTGCCCGGGGTCCAGCTCGCACATCTCGTTATCTGACCGCCCGACGGAGTCCTGGGCCCTGGCATCCAGGATCTCCGAGCGCATGCTGTCTTCAGACAGGTTACCATCTTCATCATTCTCAGAATCAGTGCTGTCGTAGATCTGGTAGAACTTTTCCTGCAGCTGGCGCAGCTGTTTCTGCATGTCCTCCAGCTGCTGTTTCAGCTGTCGGCGCTCCTCTCGCTTCTGTTCTTTTCGGGCTGAAACCAGCTGCTGGAAACTCTGCTGCTGCTGCTGGGGCAGCTTCTGCTTGCGTTTGTTTTCTCGGTAACTTTCTCGGGGACTCACAGACTGCGGGGCCATCTCTCTTTCATTTTCATTGCCCCGTAATGCCACGCTGGGGGAATGGCTCATACCCCGAATGATATTCTCCACCCGGGCGCGCTTTGCTCTCAGGTGCTCGTCACATAAGCGATCCATATCAAACTGGCTCATAGTAGGCCTGCCAAAGGGGGAAAGACACTCTGGGGGGCTGTCTCTTGAAGAGTTGCTGCATATATCCTCCTGATGTACTTCCGAGCCTGTACTAGAGAGACCGCTGGCTTGGAAACTGGGCTCAGTGCCACCATTTTTGTTCATGTTATTTTTCAACAGCTGGGAAATGATGGTTGCTCCTGGAAAAGGCATCATGGCATCTTCATACGAGTTCGCCCTCTTCAGCAGCTTGCGGAGTACATTTGACTTTTCCCCATCTGCATGCTGCACCACTGAATACTCAACATCCTGCTCGGAGCCCTGGGGATTCATGGTACTGAAAAACGTTGCTCTTGCCTTGGCGAAAAACGCAGACGCTGTCCCTACCGTCCTTTTCACTCCAATGTCAACTCTTCTCCTCTTGGTTTGCCGGCTTAAGAGGGCTGTGCTGTCATGGTCAGGCATCACTGGACGGTTATTGTGCCATCTTCAAAAGCTCGTCAGCTGGGCACAGCTCAAGAATCCCGGGACCCTGGCCAACAGAACAAAAGGACTGATGAATCATTTTCTTTAAATTTCTCCAAATTTCCTGACCTCAATCCTGAATCAAATGCAAAATGCATAGGCTCTGGGATTTATGGCACATTACAATTATTGCAATTTATTATGCACTCTGCCTGAAATGAAACATTTTTAAATATTTCTGCTCCACTGGTTTAAGATGGATTAAGATTTTAAAAAAAAAAAAAGCCAAAAAAATGCTTAAGCACCAGTAATACGATTCTCTCTCACAAAAACCTAAAAATGATACTGTTTATCTTCAGAAGAAACAGTCGATTCTAAGAACACAGCCTCTGAGAAACAATTGATTAAATTTTGGGCATTGAGATTCATGTTACCAACGAGGAAAGAGAGCTGGACTATAAAAATATGGTGAAATTTTGAGGCTGGGTGAAATTTGCATGAAAAAGAATTATTTCTGCAACAGAATTATTGTGTTTTAAAGAGCACTCAATTAAAAAGACTATAAAATAAATATGGGATCTACACCTCTTGCCCACTGAATTTGAAAGTATTTAGTCACAGTGAAGTGGCAAGGAGAACCACTGCCTCCACACCCTTTTTCCAACATAAGTGATCACTTTCGTATCGATATAAGTGCACACATACAATTTTGTCTATTTAACACAATTAGGCATTTTTATGAGTAAGAAATGATGTGATGATATTAATTGCTGTATCTTAAAGTAGCTCTGAGGGTATTTGTAAAATGTCCAAGATGCCCTTCTCAGGGCTTAAATTATTATCAAGTTGGACCCATTGTGAAACAAGGACATTGTCCCATTTTAGAAATCAATATGTCTAACAGTAAATTATTGGACAAGTCAAAGGTAAATACATCTTCAGTACTGATTCTCTTCTGCTAAAATCTGCCCTAAACAACACTGCGCATGCTTAAAGAAACCATTTCACCTGCACCACCTATGAACTTTATTTCTTATGCCCCATGAACGAGGAAGCCCAATCCAGGGTGTGAAGAATGGAAATCCCTCTTCTGGACACGAGCTCCCGTTGTTTCTTGACAACACTCTAAAAAAGAGACCAGCCTTTGCTAGATTTGACAAAAGGCCCTTAACCTATTTTGTGACTTATTAACTAATGATGCTAAACCCACATTTCATATAAGATGCCACTTTTTTTCTGGCTTACAATTGACATTTTCTGAAGAAAATGAAAATGTTGTTGTGTTTTCCATGTAGGATTCATCTAATATTAAACTTCGCGTTTGCTTAACGGAGCACATCTTCACAATAACAGGGTCTATTGCCAAAGGCAGCATGCAGAGTGTTTGGAACGGCTCCCATCTCTCTCGGTTCACCTGTAAAAACATCTACGTGCTCCCTAGGACTGCATCTGTGGCTAGTTTTAAAGAATGACTATCCATGCAAATAGGCATAATTTCAGCATGAAATAACCTGAAAAAATCAAGGAAATGCTCGGTGCTTGGATGGCAACAATGTGCATTATTTTTTAAGCCACAAGGATTTCATCCTGCACTCTCTGCTTTTGGTTTCTCTAGGAAAACAAAGCCAGCAAAACAAAATAAGATCAACCACCTTTTAAAGAGTCTGATTTAGAGTGCTCGGAAGGAAGGAGTGATGCTTCTTCACATTTCTTTTTGCCTGCTTGGGAATAAAAGACTTCTTGGATGATTCAGGATTAAACTTCCTGAGCTGGAATTGCAAACATCGAGTCTCCAAAAAGTCCATCACTTGGTTCAAAATAAAATTCAGGCTGATTGAGAGCCATCACAATAATAACAAACTTGGTGCCAGGGATATTCAAATACAATGACAAACATCTCACTGCCACATCAGAGCTGGTAAGTCAGGTGTAGCTGTCAGGCAAGGGAAAGGAAAAGAGAAACTGAACCAAGAAAAAGAATGAGGAAAAAAAGACTAATAATTTCAAAGGTCTGTTCACGACAGAAAGATGCATGTTTGGAGGGCATGGGTGTTGGCATGGAAGACATTTTTCTTTGTGTTATCAGCATTCCAAAATAAGAGTTCATGGTCATTAAAAAAATGTTTTTTCTCTTTCTCTGTACAAATCCTTTTCTTGTTACTATCACTTGCGAAATACATGGATTTCCAAGTGAAGCATTTTCGTAAACTTTCTGTAGTATTTCTTTCTCCCCATATCACTTTAACATCCAAACTGGATTTTCCTCCTACTCATCCTTGCTGTGGTAAGCACACCTACCTCTGCAGGCCAACCGGGGCTCCGAAACCACACAGTGGTGCGAGAGAGAGGTGGGACAAGGTCATCTCCAGGCTTCCTTCCTTTACAACTGTTAGTTACCTCCATGTCAAGGTCAACTTCACTTCCTCTCATCTACCTAGCTATCAAGAGCCGCATCCCGGCCTCGTGCTGGAGATGGAGATGAGAGGGGGGCTGTGCTCTTCATAAGGTTGCAAGAAACGATCATCTCATCTCTTAGGTGGAGAATAAGTGTTAATTAAGCAAGTTTGTGGAGTCTGCTAATATATATATATTCACCAAAGTCACTGCCATTGAGTCAATGCCAACTCATAGTGACCCTGTTAAAATATAACGCCCTCTAAATCCATCAAACTAAACTAATTCTTGCAATTTTCTTTCAACTATTCAATGTTTTTAGATCAAATAATAATTTCTGTTTTGAGTTATGGGGCTGAAAAAGACTTTGGAGACTCAGTGTAAAATGTCCAGAGAAGATCTGGCATAAGATAAATGATAAAAACCCAACAAGAAAAGGAATTTGATTAAGAGGTATCAGTAAATCTCTCTCTCTCTCTACAGCTTACACTGGTACCTTGGTAGCTGTGAACAGAAATATTGGTGATTCAAACCCAACCAGCAGCTCCATGGGAGAAAGTGCTGGAGATCTGCTCCCGTAAAGACTATAGATGAGAAACCCCTACGAGGCAGCTCTGTTGTCATGTGGAGTTGATAGGAGTCAAAATCAACTCTATGGGCACCTGATAACAAAAGCTTGGACCAAAACTTAGAAATAATGGTATAGTGGTGGCAGACATTGGAACCATAAACCCATGGTGGCCATAGACAAGATCAAATAGTAAGTGGTTTACATAGCATTTATTAGTATCATGCGTCATAAATCATATGTATATGTGAATCTGTTTACCACCTAAGGAAATGCACAGATAAATAACCACAGCATACGGTAAAACAGTTTCAATGTGCTTCCCCAATTGATTGCCCACCTCAGAATGCTATGGAATGACTTACCATTGCTGTTGTCACGTCCACTAAGAATTTTCAAAAACCCCTTTTGTTCCTCAACATATACATTACACCACAATGCTCCAACGATAATTGCTATGATTTTTATTGTCTTTTAATTTTGACATGAATGTTGAATGTAACAAAGCAATATGAAACCTTCCATGCAATCCTGGTGAACGTGAGTATAGTAACTAGGCAGAAACATACTAGTTAAGAATTTGAACCCAAATGTATTATTGATCCTACACACCTATTACCCTACTGAAAACTCCTCTTGAGTTAATGTGGAAATTGAAGAGGGATGCTTTCCATTATTAAATATTTGGCTGCACCAATTGGCATGTCATCGCCAAGAACTCCTATGCGATGACTTTGTTACCATCACTGCTCACTAGCAGGAAGAGAGAAGATCAAACATCCAGATCTCATCGAGTAAGATTTTAATTGCTCAGAAATAAAAAGTGGAATTTATGACATTGTGGTGAATGTGGAGAATCCTAAGTAAACTGATGGCTTAGTGTTAGCAGGAAAAAAAAATCAGTGAAGAATTGCAAAGGAGTGCTGCAGTGTGAAGTAGAAAGAGCTTTAAGCACTTGATGTTAATAAGCAAGTTTTGGGGGTGGGGGTTGGTGGGGACGAGGGTGTTACTTTTACTAGGACTAGCTGGTGTCCAGATTCTGGACAAAGAAGTGTTTCATTGTGGTAATTATCCAGAGAGTTCAGAAGAATCTTCTGTGGGGGTGGGAGAGGGTGAGGCTGGCATGCTTTCTTCCTTGCAGATTATTCAGATTGTTTGTCTCTGTTTTATGCGATTGTTTTATGCAATCACTCACGTCTATGCTTCCAGTCTTTGAATGAGCCTCCAATCTACAGGCATCAACCTGGTTATAGAAATTCAAGCTGGAATATCATCAACAAAGTGCATTTTAAATCAATGTGGAAACCAGTAATTCAAAGGGGGAACTAGATGATTTGATTTAGATATTCCCGAAACCACTAAACTGTTCTGTTTATCGCTGTGTTGAAAAGTTCCTTGTTTGCTAATTAGCAACTTTTCCTTCCTAGATCATTTCAGTTTACAATCAGCTTAGGATAGACCATGGAGTTTATCTGCAAGAACTCATTTGACATAAATTACTACTTCAATCAACTGAAATGCTATTGCCAAAATCATCTATCAGGGTTTAAAATTTCCATTTAGAATGCAATAGTCAAATAATGACAATTTCATTATTAAACTTCCTCTATCCTATCAAAATATCTACCATTTTTTTCGCTTGTAAAGTGAGCATTCGCTATCTATCAGAAACATGCCTAAAATGTTAATTTAAGCTTTTTTTAAAGTGATAATTCACCCATTTAACAAATAAGGGAGAGAAATTATATGTTAAGAAAAAAATATTTTTTCCTCTTTGCAGAAAATTGAAATATTGTACATGTTCTCTGAAGCTTTAAAATGTGCTAGGCAATAAAGTATGAGAAAATCCTTATATCCGTATCCTTTCCTATTTGCACAGGTACTTAATTATAATTCTACAATAATATATCATGCACAGAACCTTTCCATGATATAAAATTAGTAACATTTTATAGTTTTTTTTGTGAATCCTAAATCTAAAAATTGCCTTACATGATCAGTTGCAAAGGCAAGACAGTTCCTGGGTGTTATAAGAAATTCATTTTTGAAAAATGAAGATCTCTTTGAGCAGGTCTGATAATTTATAGAATAAGCTGGTCTGGGTTTTAGGATGGCAAATGCTACTTACAGAGGAACTGTGCTTGGAAATGAATAGTGAGAACAAAGATGCATGTTATGTATGCATGACTTTTCCCCCACAAGGTGGTGATTAAACTAAACAGAATTCTGCATAATGGACACATAAAATATCAGTAAGTGCCAAGTAAAGATAACCCCTATTAAAAATAAAGCAAATGAACATAGTCAGAGATGACGTTTTAATTGCCAAAGGACTTCAAAAGCACCCAAGGAAAGTATTGGGCAGGGGTGGGGTGGGGGGAACTTTCCTGTTTAAGTCTCAAGAATAAATGACACACCTGAGAGCCCATTTTCATGCAAACAATGCTTTCCATCAAACAGCAAAATCAACCTAGAAAAATCTTTCTCCATCTAACCTATTGCTATGCAACTTAGCTTCAAGGTTTTAAAGGAGAAAACAAGTCAGAATTTAAGAATCTAGACTTACATTGGTTAAATCCCTCACACATCAAGCCAGACCCTGGAACGTAAGTCTCTTTTCCCACACTACAAACATGTCCACAGTATAGCCACATGGACAGGGTAAAGCAAATGCTCTCCTCTTCCTTTCTCGACAGACCCAGTCCATTTCATTCCAGAGATACTCAGAAGTTCTTGCAAGGGACTCTTCACAGAACTGTCTGCCCACATCTTGCATCAAATAGAAAGGCAAAGTTACCTCACATGCATTTGAGATTTTTCTTCACCATCAAAGCAGTATCTAGGACATCTGCCACCTGTCTGGTACAATGACAGCCTCATTCCGCTGTGTGAGAGTGTTTAATATAGGACTTGAGAGAGTTTATGCAGATACCTATTCTTTCTGGTTCTGGAGAAAACACCCCAGAAAGATAGGCAATGACAATAGTAACACCTTGAAACTGACTTTGGTATTCTTGGCAGCTATGCACCCCCTCATGGTTGTCCAAAACACACACACACACACACACACACACACACACACACACACGAACAGCCAGGGCTCTTGCTCTCTCTCTGCCAAACACAGACCTAAGAGAGAGGCAGAAACTGGAGGAAAGCTGAGGGGAAGTTCAATCTCTCCCCACCTGCTGCCTGAAGTGGGGGTGGTTCTTGCTGCCTGGCCCACAGGAGCTGAGACATGGCCTCAACAGCAGTCTGTCAATATCCTTAAGAAAAATAAACACACACCAACTTGTCCCCTTCCTCCTCCTCTTCCTCCTCCTCCTCCTCCTCCCTTCCCTAGGCCCCCCAAAGAACTCACAGGGCAGGGCTCAAAACATAACAACAGCCAGATTCCCATTAGCCCAGACAATCCTATTAACCAGGACGACCATACATTCATAAACCACTACAATCCTGGAGCAAGCATTGTGGTCTGGGAGCTGTACAGACACACACAGACACAGAGGAAATTTGCACCTGTCTTTCTTGACACAACACACCTGTCAGGCCCTGCCCATGCGCACTCTGCTAATTGACCTCTGCCTATCTAGTTTAGGAAAGGAAATGATTCTTTTGTGAGGGAGGGCATGGGTAAAGAAAAGAGAACAAGAAAGGGAACACTAGAGAAGAGACTCTTCTAGCCTTGACTTTGAGAGGAGGCCACCCTGTGCTTGCTCTATTTTTATAAGCTCAAGGAGAGAGACAACACAGACCTTCTTGGAAAAATAAAAACAAGCAGGTGAGCTCTGAGCCTACCCTGAGGCAGCGTAGGGTTCACGGTTGCCAAGTCCAGCAGCCTCACACTCCAACCTGCCTCCCCGGGCTGTGTAAACCGGCGCCCAACCCCTCCTCCTAGTTCTGCTCCCAGGCTGCTCCGCAGACTCTCAACTTCCGAAGAAGCTGGGAAGGGGCGGGAGACCTCCGAGTCCTTGGAAGGCCATCGCCCCAGGTACCCCCTCCCATCCAGCTTATCCACCTACGTTTAGTTTTTGCAGGAGTAACTGGCTGGAAACCCCAGAGGAGCCGAAACTTGTTGGACTGGACTTTGGGTGATGTCTTCCCTTCCTCTGAGCTCCCCCTTTCTTGTCTGCGAGGCAAGATAACAGCTGTTCCCCACTCCCCGGTCCCCCTCCCCCGCTATTCTTCCCAGTAACAATTACTCTGACTTCCTCCCCAGTCCTCCCAACTGGGAGAAAACCATAGGTACCACCCAGACAAGACAGACCAAGGCAGCTAAACAACAGAAAAGTGGCAGCCACGGCTGCGAGATTCTTCACCTCAGAGACCTGCTGTCCAAGAACACCCCAGACGCTCCCACCAGTAAATCCCAACCCCTCTGCCTTTCGGAGGCTCTCGATCCCCGATCCCTCCGCAGCCAGGCTCCCAGGCCGCCTTACCCCACTCAACTTGACCCAGCTCTAGTTCCCGAGAGCTCCCCGAGGGGTGCCCCGCACTCTTTTCCCGGGACCCATCGCTTCACGGCTGCAGCCCCGATCTCAACATTTCGGCTTGGAGGCTCCGACTGCGTTTGGAGAGGAAAGTAATACAGCGTCCGCCCCCGCCCCCCGCCGCCGGCCCCCCTTCCCCTACCCTCCTCCCCGCTCGCCAGCCCGCCGCTGGGGTTAAAAGGGAGAAGTGAAAGGTATGCAAATGACAAGCAAATTGGAAGAGCGGGCAAGAAAGGCAGCTAGAATAAACAAGACAAAGGGAAAGGACGCGGGGACTGGCCGCGGAGTTTGCGCCGGGGGACGACGGGGAGGGCGAGGGCTGGCGAGAAGCGGGGATCCGGAGGAACAAAAAGCGACCTGGTCCCCCTCCCGGTCTTCCCCCTTGAGAAGAGAGGGCGGGCGCAGGAGGGAAGGAGGCCAACGCCGGCTCAAACCCGAGCAACAGTGCACAAAAGGTGACAAGATCAGCGGCAAGTCCAGCCATCTCAGCCGCCCCCGGTCGCAAACACCACCCCCGGCCACCAGCAGGCAGGAGAAAGAAATAAAAGCCAAGGCGATCCCTTACTCTTAGGACCTGGGAGGAGCGGAGCGCGGAGTTTCCCGGGGGCTCCGGCTTAGAAACTGTGCAGAGGCTATTTTATTCTGATTCATTAAGAGAACACCGGTTTCCCCCTCCTCCTTTTGGGGGGGTGGGGATGGTGGTGGTGGTGGTGATGTTTACACGGGTGTGAGTCTTGGAAGTCTGTTTTCTTCTCTTCTCATTCAAGAAGAAGCCGGTGCAAGGGAGCCTGGCCGAGGGGAGGGGACTCGCCCGGGGAGCAGATACTTACGCGGTGCGGAGCCGGGGACCGAGCCGCTCGGTCGGGACGCAGAGAGGGGCGCCCGCGCGCGCGCGCCGGGCTCTGGCGGGTGATGAGTGTGATAATTGGACCAGGGACGGTGAGTCCGTGCGAGAGCGAGCGGGCGGGCGGGCGAGGGCGAGGGCGAGGAGGGAGGGCAAAGGAGAAGAGGAGAGGAAGGGAGAGGAGAAGGAGCGAGCCAGAGGTGAAGCGAGAGGAGGAGAGCGCGGAGGCGCTGGCAGCCCGGGAGAGAGCTCGTCTGCGCCGCTCTGCCTGCCGCGGCGGCCGCGAGGGTGTATGATTTGCGAGCGCTCCCTCGGCTGAGGGCTCCGCTCCACGACAAGATTTACTTTAAGACACAGCTGAAGGAAACAGGAAGACTGCACGTCACAGTCTGACTGACGTACCCGGCGCCAGCACCCAATCGCGAGGCGCCTTCGGATGCAAGGGGGGATAGCGAGGCAAGAGAACTTGGGAGGGGGAAAAAAAA